TTCCCAAGGTCCCCACTGCGTCCCCCCTAATCCCCTGCCGCTCCCACCCCAAGGCCCCGCTGGCCATTCAGTCCTCCCGAGGCTCAGCTCTCAACACGCCGCAGTTGTGTTGACTGAGACCAGCGGCCTCACAGACGTGCCCCGAGGCTGTGGGTTTGCGGAGCGCCTCCAGGTTTCCCGCATAAGCCCGGTGCGGCCACCTCAGCCCTCCCAGTCAGCCTGCCCTCTCCCGGCTGTATTTCGCCACCCAGCTGCCCTGGGGATTGTTTGGCGGGGCTTTGTCAAGGTTTCTAAGTCTTCCTTTCCCCCTGCTGGGTTGTTTTGCTTCCCTTTCACATTATAACTGCTAAAAACAGAGGCTGGCTCTAAGTTTAAAATCCAGTGAACAGCAAATATTTGAACAACTACTGTCATCCGAAAGTGTCTAAACCATTGTGGTTGCTCAAAAATATTTAAACAATTACCGTTGTCCAAAGGATTTAAACAACGACTTTCAAAATAGCGTGAGACGTGGCTTTGGCCATTCTGGGTCTTGAAATTGTGTTGAGAGACTGCCTCACTCTCATGACACAAGAGCGAGGTTGGCCGGCGCCCGCCCCGCAGTAGGAGCCTGCGGGAGTGATCTGGGAAGGCTTCAGAGGGGAGGCACAGGGCTGGGCCTGGAGGAGCGATGAAGGCGGCTCCGAGATGGAGGTGGGGGCGCGACAGCCAGGTGGGGATTCACCTCCGTCATTCGCTAGGCAAAAGGTGCCTTGGCAGAGCAGCGGCCTCCCGGGGCCTCACCTCCCTGTTTCTGCGAGGGCTGAAGGACAATATGCGTCAGCGCACTTGGCACACTCCGGGAAGGAGGCTGGGCGCTCGGTACAGCAGTCCCCCCTCACCCCTGGAAGATCCGCTCCAGGACCCCCAGGGGATGCCTGAAACCATAAGCACCAAACTCTAAACACCGTGTTTATTCCTGTACATGTATACCATCGAAAAGCTTAATTTATCGACTAGGCAATTTCGTGGATAGAAGATTCATTGTTACCGTAGATCTCAGCAACCTCAGCATGTGATTTTTCTGCTTTCCTTATTAAGGTGGGAACTCCCACCTTTTCTCTTAGGGGAAGCGCTTCCCGGCTTCTCTTTGGCGTGTCCGAATTGCCAGCATCCCTACTCTTGCTCTTTGGAGGCCATTATTAAATAAAACAAGGGT